CTGTGGCTGTGCATTGCAGGCTGAGTAGCAGCGCAGAGCACTCGGTTGGCGAGGCAGCATGATTCCTCTGCAACACATAGTGCGCAGGTCCTGAGCACTGCCAACATTTCTGTTAAAGGGGCCGTGTTGTCTCTACGCACATGCGCATGTGCCGGAGAGAACAGGGAAAAAAATTAAAGCCGCCGCTGCCGCCCGTGCGGTGACTGCATTCTTATTTGGGGCAACCTCGGGCCAGGCAATGCAGTTGCTGAGGCTTTAATAGAGCCTCAGAAAAGCTGCATTAACTGACCCCAATGCGGTTGCTGTGTCCCCACATAGTGCACCTTCAGGGCATGCAATGCGGTTGCTGCGGTTTCGGGAAAAGGCAAATTCAGGTCACACTTTCTTTCCTGTCTGCTTAGGCCCGTGGAGGGTTGCAATTAGGGTTAGGGTTTTAATATTCAAGTGCACCTGTGCCAGTGCATCTCCATCTGGAAGCATAGGGCGCTTTAAATTAAAGCCGACATCATAGGGTGCATACTCTGAATCACCAACATATAGGCCTTTGCAGACTGCCAGAAATAGTGCACATTAAATTGAGGCACTGCCCTGGCTCAGTGCTAGGGAGTCATGGGAATTGTATTTTTTTCTGAGACATTGAGCCTTCTCTGTCAGAGAGCTCTGGTGCCACAATAAATTAAAGTTCCCATGATTCCCTAGCACTGAGCCAGGGCAGTGCCTCAATTTAATGTGCACTATTTCTGGCAGTCTGCTTAGGCCCTCAGTTTCCACTGCACATGCAACGGTGCATTTACATGGCTGTTTTCTGGTGCACCAGTGTTGCTGCATACAGATGCATATGCGAAGGTGTGCATCTTTGCCAAAGGAGCAGAACAAAAGGGGCTTTTCTTGGTATATGACGGCTAGAGGGCACGTTTCTGGTGACTTTTAGGTGTGCGTCATCTGAACTCCATGCCTACAAGTCACCCTCAAAGCACTTCTTTTTGCCCATCTGCATAGACCCTTAGTCCTTCATTGAAAGTGTTTGGTATAGGGAGTGAATTCTGCCTTTAAATGCCATGATAGATTTGGAACTTCTAGTGTTCTGGGGGCTTTATTGGAATTATTGAAAAAAGTAAATATTTCTTTTTAGCACACATATAGTAGGGCCTAGGTACCCACTAGGTTTGGTTCCAGCTCCCTGTGAATACTAAAAATTCATAGATGCTCAAGTCCCATTAAATAAAGTGGCATAGCAAAATTGTGTCCCTTATATGAAATGGCAAAATCAAGGTTTGCTTTTTGGAATTTATATTTTTTTGGGAATATTCCAAGCTCTTGGTGCGAATCTGTGGATATGGATTATTATTATTATTATTATTATTATTATTATTATTATTATTGACTGTATATAGGACAGTGGGAGAGAAAATGAAGAATTTCTGAATTATTTTGTACCTTTTAACATCTTTAATTATTTTTGTGTAGTAATACCAACCATTCAAGGAAATTATATATTACACTACAAGAATTTTGTATCCTCTCCCACCCTATACATATTCTTTTAAAGAACAATCACTTCTAAGGAAGCAATAATTTATTATCAGGAATTTACAAAGTGAACTTCTTTTAGGATCCGGCAACCAGATACAAAATGCAAATGTGGTACAATGGCCAAAAATTGCCAGTGTCCTTTTGGGGAGAAAAATGTACAGACAGTAGAGAGTCTCAAGTTAAATATGCACTCTCACCCATTTTGCAGGGATGTGGAGCCTGAGACATTCCAGATAATGGGGGGAAGCACATGAGTGCTTCCAGGACGCCGCCGGACGGAGCGCACTTTCCCTGCCTTTTCCGCCGCAGCGTGTGAGGGCGCTGCGGTGGGAGGTTGCCTCCAGAGCGCCGGCCTTGCGGAGGGCCGGCAGCTCCGAGGGCAACCTCGGGAAGAGGAAGGGGCGCCGCGCGTGTGGCTGCCCCTCCTCTTCCAGGCCTCGGAGACGACTTTATTAGTCATCTGCTGAGGCCCGAAGTTGCAGAGGTAGAACAGGCATGAGGATGCTGTGGTGTTCCAGATGACTAAAAGGGGGCTGGATATCCCCTGGGTGCTTCTCTCAAGGCACTCTGTGGCTGGAAGTGTGCTGCAGACATCATTTGCCAGTATCTCATTTCAAACAACTCAGAAACACTCTGGTTGAAGTGTTGCCAGGCTGCAAACGTAGGTACTGCAAAAGGGTTGACAGTATTCCTTAATATGTTAGCATCACATCTTAAATTGGTTGTTATTATTGTGTGTCTTCAAGTCTATTCTTATTCTTATTCTTATTCTTATTCTTATTCTTATTCTTATTCTTATTCTTATTCTTATTATTATTACAGTTTATTTATATAGCGCTGTAGATTTACACAGCGCTGTACATACAGTCAATAAAATAGATAAAAATAGATTTAAAAAGCCTGCCAATGGCGTACATTCTACAAAATAATAAAATACATATTAATACAAAGAAGGCAACAAATTAAAAATATTGAATAATCATCATACAATGCCTGCAAACATTTCTCTGAACAGTATAGTCTTTAATTCAGCTTTGAATCTGGTTAAAGAAGTGATGCTCCGTGCTCGTGAGGGAAGGAGGTTCCAGGAATGAGGGGCAGTAAGTGAAAAGGGATGGAGCAGAAAAATCCTAGGCTGAGACAGCAGACCCTGACTACCAGACTCATAGTGACCTTATCATGGGTTTTTCATGGCAAGATTTATTCAGAGGGGGTTTGCTTTTGCCTTCCTCTGAGACGAAAATGTGACTTGCCCAAGGTCATCCAGTGGGTTTTCATGGCTGAGCAGGGACTTGAACCATGATCTCCAGAGTCGTAGTCTAATACTTAAACCACTACACCAGGCTGGCTCTGTAACTGACATGGTTATTCCTTAGTTATTCTAAGCAAGAATTAATCATAAAAACTCATTATTTCTAACTAGTTATATCCCAGCTAAGGGCCTCGGCAGACGACTAATTGGGTCGTCTTCCGGGCCCGGAAGAGGAGGGGCAGCCGCACGTTCGGCGCCCCTTCCTCTTCCTGAGGTCGCCCCGGAAGCTGCCGGCCCTCCGCACGTCCGGCGCTTCCGGGGCAACCTCCCTCAGCAGCGACCGGACGCGCTGCGGAGGATAAGACAGCGAAAGTGCGCCCGCCGCTTTTAGGGCGCACTTTCGCTGTCTTGAGGAAGGAGCGCTGATTTAGCGCTCCTTCCAGGGACGCCGCCCGTGCGCCGAGATGCGGAGGCTGCGGCCCCGCGGCGTGCCGGCGCAGGGCGTCCTAGACGCCCTCGTCTGCTTCCCCCCTTTCTGCCTTTGCAGACTGCCAGAAATAGTGCACATTAAATTGAGGCACTGCCCTGGCTCAGTGCTAGGGAGTCATGGGAATTGTATTTTTTTCTGAGACATTGAGCCTTCTCTGTCAGAGAGCTCTGGTGCCACAATAAATTACAATTCCCATGATTCCCTAGCACTGAGCCAGGGCAGTGCCTCAATTTAATGTGCACTATTTCTGCCAGTCTGCAAAGGCCCTGAGTGACAGAGGCTCTTAAGAAAAGTTCAGCTGGATTATACCAATGATCATCAGCTCCAGACAGCTTCCTGAATGACCAGTCTGATGATCCCCAAGAATTACTGATCAAAGATTCCCCAGAATCCTACATGCAGAATGTGTAAGGCATTTGCCCTCCCTGGTTGTTTGAGCTCCAGCAAGTGGTAGTAGAACAGTCTTCCCCTGTCTGGTCCCTCCAGATGTTTCGAGCTATTAAGTAGTTAGATATATGATAGCTGCCAATATGGCACTTCCAGTAAGCTGTCATAACTTTCAGTAGACTACTTCTCAACTGCAGACCTCATCTCATGGTTCCCTGATCTCCAGCATCTTGGAAAAGCTCTGTTTGGGATGCTTTCAGGCTGAAATAATAAGGTTGTTTGGGTGGCATTGTCAGACATATCTACAGCAACGTAGCACTGTTGTTGCAGTTATATTGACAATGCAATATCACATTCATGGTCTAGTCCAATCTTTTGCTATTTGATTTTGCATGGTGTTGTTGGATAGATTTTCCAAAACTACTATAAATGATAATGTGTATGCTTGCTGTGGTGCAAGATTTCTCAGTCTGAATGCTATCCTCAGTTCATTAACACCTCCAAACTGGGAAGAGGGGCATATTTTCCCAACATCACATATTCATTCTTGTTTCAAAAAGTTAAAAAAAAAAGTTTCCTCTCTCTCTTTCTCTCTTTGTGATGGCATGCTTCTATTTGAGTCTTCCAGCAGTGCAATTATCCCTTTTGTGTGCACTATTTTTCAGGAATGGAGCCATGGTTCCAGGATCCACCAGATGGATAACAACTGTTGTTTTGTTATTAGGTATACATCAATATGTGTAAAAAGAAAGCCCTTTATAGTTTTATATAGACGTGAACAAAGTGTTCAACAAAACCCTTAAATGCATCAAGAGCAAGATGATTGCAACTCTATTTCTCCTAGGAATTGTAACAGCAATGAATGCCCCATATATGGTGAAATATAACACACCCCAAAGAACAAAATATTTCACTTTCAATATTAGGTCTATTCAACATACTTACAACGAAAGCATAAATTTGAAGTAAGAGCATGTATGACAAATACAGAGCAAAGGCTCATTACTCATGTTACTTCACAAAATAACTAATTTTGTAGAGAGGCCCTAGAGTTAATTAGGCACTTGAAATCCATTTCTACCTATAGGAGAGTTGGCCATCATCTTTTTATTAAAGTTTGTTGACATTATGGACTGATTTCCTTCACTCTGAAGAAGACAAATGTAACCCTCTTTTTAAGCCACACAACACTTCTTTGTAACATTTGCAGAAGGTTGGTGCCCTAATGCCATTATGTGCGGTAATTATGTAATTGCACATCATTATACATTCTAGTGACATGATCATGCATGGGTTCCACTAATTGTATAATTAGACCTAATTAAAGCAATTGTGAAAATATATGGTAATGAAGTGATGGGGAAGCAAAAATAAGTGAAATCAGCATCAGGTTTCATTAATATGCATATGAATTCATGAACAAGAGGAGCCCATCACAGAAATTTTTCTCCATTTGGTATTAGTTTTTAGAATATACTTTCATGTTTATAGGATGCTTTTGGTATCACTGGGGTACTAAACATTCTGGAGACTAGAGTCAAGATTCATAGTTCAGGAAGAAAAACAGGTCAGATTTCATTATGAACATTTTACCTGGCAACCCTTCTGAACTGATGAATCAGTTCTGATACATGCCAATGACGGCTTGTGTCACTGCATTGCTCATAACATTAATTCTGGAGAAGCATACTTGCAGAAGACAGAGTGAGAGCATCTGTGAGTGGGTGTGCTGAGAATGCAGACGTCTCAGGTTGCAGATGTATGGTTGCCAAAGTTTGATTTCAAAAACATGACCCATGGTGAGACAATCAGAAAGGGCAGACCAATGGCTTCACTTGCTGGGTTGTAGGAAAGGAATTCACAGGTGAGAAGAAACTTTATCTGTATCAGATACAATCCTGAATTTGGAAAGCCAAAGTTACAACTGGAGGGTTGTGATTGGACCATGTCAGGATCTGGATATCATTAGCGTTCTCATGTAGCTCTATGTTATATCCCTGCAACTCAATGGGCCTTCTTCTAGGAGACAATTCTTCTCACCTCCTTACCACAGATTCTGGCTCCAAGAGGAAGTCACAGCACAGGTGCTCCTCCTCTTTTTTCCTGTTACTCCTTTCTTGTTCATATAAGGAGGTTAAACAGACAATGAAAGAAAGAAGAGGAATTGTGGCATATGTTGGAAGTGTGTGCCTCAATAGCTGCCCAGTATTGCTGATCTGCCTATATTGCTTTCTTACCAAAACCTTTTTCATTGGTGATATCAATTAAATGTTGGCTGTTAATTCTGGATGGAAAGTGCTGCTGTCTCCTCTTCAACATGTTCATGGCAAAGCCTATTATAAAGGTAAAGGTATTCCCCATCGACAAGGCTGTCAAATTGTGTCTGACCGTAGGGGGTGGTGCTCATCTCCATTACTAAGCTGAAGAGCCAGCTTTGTCAGAGACTACTCTGGGATCATGTGCCCAGAATGCTGTTTACCTTCCCACCAAAGTGGTACCTATTTATCTATTATCTTCTGAGTTTGATGTGCCCAGAGCTACCAAGTGGCTTTTCATGGCTGATCTTGTATTCGAACCTTGGCCTTCAGAGTCATAGTCTAAAGCTCAAACCACTACACCATGCTGGGCTACAGACTCTCTTTTTCAATGAAACCTTGGAATCCAGAGAGCCATTCACACTTCACAACTATAGCACTATAATTCTGTTTTAACTGCTCAATCCTTTGGAATCCTGGTTTTTGGAGTCTAGGGAGCAATATTTAGAATTTTCAGCCAGGAAGCCTTAATGCCTCCCCAAACTACATATCTAATGATTCCATAGGATGTTGTTATGGCAGTTAAAGTAGAATATAGTGCTATAATTTTGAACTGTAAAAAGTATGTGGAGGGGGCAGGGGAAAATGTTGCTCAGAGCCTCTGGATAAGCAAATTCTGCCTAAGATGGGAGGGGCTGGATCTTGATGCCTGCAGAGTTAATGCCTATGCTTCACTGGAGGAAAGGTGAAACATGAAGAAAAGACCCGTGTCAAAGAATTTAGGAATTTTGAAAGAGAGATTTTATTTATCAGTGTAAAATTATATCAACCAAGTGATTATATCAGACTCTTCCATCTACCACTATTTTGCGACCAGCTTCATGCTTACTTAGCTACTTTGTGACTGATGGGCATCAGTCATTTCCAGTTTTCTCAAGAGCACCCTCAGGGTAGAAAGTTGGAGAACCGCTGTCTTAACTGTAACAAGACCTTCCAAGATGTCATTGTCAGTTGTTAAGACATTTTGTGTGATACAGGACTCCTCTTACTCCAGAATGCCACACAATTTGAAATTTCACAAATTAAAGCTCTTTATATATACTGTGTTTTGTGTGTGTATCCATAACCTTATGGGGAAATTCTATTGGTATGAGGATTTCTTATAGTCCTGTATGTCAGTTTCCACTGAAGTTATTTTAGAATTTCTGCACTTCTCTCCTTCTCTTCCTCCACCATTGCAGAAGTGTTTTTCTATGTACAATGTTTCTAAAGTTAGCTAAATAATACTATGTGTACAGATAATCCTTTGCTGAAGCCAAGGGCCTCTTCTGCATTCAAGTTTGTTCTGGCAGTCAAGCATGTCTTCTTACAGAGGTGAGAATGCCTTGGTTTTTGTTTTGTTTTAATCTAATTTTAATTGCATCTTCTCCTGGAGATCCAACAAAGTAGTTGGTTTAATTTCCTGGAGGAGCATATTTTAGCTCTCCTAGCATATGGAAAATGTCTCCTGCCTGATTGTATTGGCTAGGAAATGAAAAGATTTAATTCCTCTGGTAGAAGCGTCTCTCTCTCATTCCTCATTAAGCTTAGTCAGGAAATCTAGCTGTGACTACCTTGGCTTCTCATTTGTCCACCCTAAGCAGGTGACAAGGTAGAATCTATCAGTGAAAAAATGTAACCTTTGCAGGGCCCATCATTAGACTGCTTGGCAGCATTTTGTTCTGGTTTCCAATTTGTGTGTGACAGAATGCAAGTGCAAGGCTCTTACGCTTCATTATAGCCAGAGGGAAGTATATAATAGGCCAAAAAACTTTCAGTGGTGTAGGCCTGGCAATGTTAGTGGTGTTACACCAGAGATTCATTTAGATCCCTGTGTGTTAGCCTTGCTTCCTACTGTGTAGGAGTGGAAGTTCTTGGTGCCTTTATTTAGAAGCTGCAGTTTCCATTAAATTTAATTACATTTCT